AGAGATAATATAAGGCGTCAGCAGGAGCGCAACACGCAACAAGTCCAGGCAACGCAGAGGAAGAAATTCTACGAGAAGACGGCTGGTGCCAAAGCTCACTCAGTGGCAGATTAAGTTTGGGTCTTTCAGAATATGATTGTACCGAAGATTACAAAGAAACTCCTACAGAAATAGAGAGAACCGTTCATTACAACGGAAGAATATCAAGACGGATACTTCTAAAGACTTTGCACTGGTCGAGCTGAACATTTTGAGGTTGCCAAACCCAAAAGCTCATCCAGAGAAAACTGGCGTTTAGCTGAAGATATGCAGAAGAGGGATTATTTGATGATAGACCCTGTCTGCCAGGTCAATGAGAAAGGCTTCAGAAAGAAGAATGAGGGAATGAAGGCCTACAGTAAGGAAAATTTTTTCCATTGGACGTGCATCCTAATGACGCAGTCGATGCGGTTGAGAAAACTTCACCCTATGGAGTGGAACAATGGGGTGATCCCGAGCAGATAGAGATCCTTAAGAACACAGAATCAGATCTACCTTTCACAGTGCAAACACGGCAGAGCAGTAGAGAAAGACGTGCAGATAATTCGAATCCTTATGGAGATGACTTTGTAATCGACAGGAAAGACCTGAAGAAGAAAGCGGAGGAGCTAGCGGGTCTTGAAGAAGTAATCGCGTCGAGGGAACTAGGTATTATCGACGATCAGGACAAGGAGTGGCTCAAAGATCGGTCAAAACCAGAAGTCGAAAATGATGATGAGCTACAGCAGTCATACGAGTAAAAAAAATTAACAAACCTGCACATCTTGGAGTGACTAAACAAAATTATGTCGGACCCCAAGGAGATAAAAGTAACAATTCAGGATGTAGACCGCGAAGGCATGAAAACTATCTGGAATGACAAAAATGACCTTCCGAGGCCAGCCCACGGGCAATCAATGTTCATTCCTTCAACCAATTTTAATTTGATATTAGGTATAAGGTCGACGGGGACTTCAATGGATAATTTTTTCCGGGGAGTGGCGGTAGGGCTTAAGCACACTAAAAAGTTATTAAAAAAACCTAAGCATTGCAAGGAACGAGTAATTTAGGGGCATCTATAAGATAGGAAGGGTAGTAGAGTCATATTTTAACTTAGCGAGTGAAAAATCTTGAAGCATAAAACTAACTGATAGTGATTTTACACTTACGGATAGGATATGTGCAATAGCCTTTACCGCGGATTTGAGGTTTAGAACAACAAAAGAATCCAACTTCAGTGCAAGAAAATATAGTCATTATGGAAGCAGAGACCCGAAATAGGGCAGAATGTGATAGTTAGGTCATGACCTTACTTTTACATTCTGATTGATCAATTTAATTCTTTTTTTCAATTTCTGAATTTAAACGATAGAAATCAAATCGTAGACTTGAAATCAATTTGGACGGTTTCATGGATTTGGATGAGGCCTACGTTGGACCGGTGATAGACGAGTTTGGGCTATAAAACGTGATTATGCCCAAGATGATCTAGAGCTAGTTATGCTAACGAATGCCTTGACGAACATCTTGGGGCATGACATCCGTGGGAGCGCCCCACGGAAGTTATGTTGATGACAGTTTCGGGCGAACAAGGAATCCTGCATGCGCGTGATGGGATGAAGAAATGGAAAACTCTCTGGGAGTGATTTAGCGCACGAGCCTTGGCTGGGGACCGCAGGAGTATACCTGACCAGAGAGATGCCTTTTCCCACCAGGCTTCGGCCCGGTGGACGGAGGAAACATCAAACCATTCATCAGGAGATGGGTACCGAGGCTGCCTCGTCTACCTCACAGCTGAAAGCTGCAGTGCCACCGAACAGGGCAAGCAAAGTAGAAGAAATCCAGACAAACGAGACCGGAGAAACGAGTAACGGAAGACATCACGGCTAACCAAACAACGGAAATTCAATCCTCATCGGGATCTGGAAGACTGACGGTCTCGGGCCCGAACGATACCCTGGGGACCCGGTAGTCGAAGGGACTATTAGAGAGCTGGTTGAAGCCGCTGGTCGAATATTGGTCAAAATGAATACGCCAGGTTCCGAGATGACTGCACCCTATAGAACGTTTGACGGCACATGCAGAGTGGAAGTCTCTGCAAATGTGACGAAAGCATCTGTAAGCAAGACCGCGGCAGATGCTGGACCAGGACGGGGTTCAAGTAGGCAAGTAAAGAAAATGCCTATGGAGATGATCTGACGAGCAAAATCTTAGGACATTATGGATGACGACAGTAATGGCATTTGGAAGCGTCACGGAAGCTCAGTTATACCGAATGGTTGAGCTAATGAATACGGAGAAGATCGTAGATCGGAAGCAGAAGAAAGTCGATGGGAAGAGGCGTTGGTTTGTTTTTTTTTCTGCGGTTTTGCGGAAATTCCAGTGTCCGGTACTGACCATTCGCACAAGGTGATGAAAACGAGGACGCAACAAGCTACTGAGAGAAGGCAAAAAGAGAGAGTCATGAGATGGAACAACATAGTACATAATCTGGCAAGTCGCAATGCTGGACGATTTGTTCTAATGGATCTAGAACACAATTTGAGAGCCTTGGATCAATCTAGATTCACGACTGATGTCATCCACTTTGATACAATAGAGGGGCAAGCCTAGATAAACCGTGTCTTACAGGAATGATTGGACGAGCTGGAGATCGAGGTGTTTAATACAGGAGTCTTGAGTAGTGAAGAAGCAACGGAAGTACGAGCTACCTCCACCTTTGTGCCGCCTAGTTGGAAACCTGTTTGGGATCAGCAAAAGCCGTGACTCAAATTTTGCAGAGCTTGAGGGACCAGGAACATCAATGGAACGACTGGGTGAAGGTCTCTCGAGAAAGAAAATTCATCCAAGATGCAGGTTGGGCTCAGTAAACCCAACAGAAACCCTTGGAACTTTCAGATAGGAAATTTCAGTCACCAGAGCAGAACGTTTCCGGGTTCGGGGCTTGTTAATGTGATCGAACTTGGTGGAAAAATTTTGCAAGGATTCATTTTTATGCTTTTTGCTTTTTTAGTGTCCAGGCCGGTATATCACATGAAACTGTTAGTTTTCTATGGTTAAGGTTTCTCAGTTTTTTCGTTAGCTCTCTGTTCTTTACAATTCTGCTGTTTCCAATTTAACGAGGTTAAGAAACCTATTTTAGGATTCAAAACACTCGGAATTTTCGCAAACGTCAAGGCCTCCTATTCTCAGAACAGAGACAGACAAAGCGAGAAAATCAAGTTCGTCGTCAGAATCATGTTCTTTTCTGACAAGATTTGGTAAAAAAATGATTCTTTTTTTTCAGAATCTATGACACTTGTGTCAGGAGCTGCTACAGAAAAAAATCAAATGATTTCAATATCTTTTTAGGCAGCTGGAGACGGCATTTTTGTGCCGATGTTTTAGCAGTATAAGATATTTTTGATTATCGTTTTTTTTTGTTTTTTTTTTAATTTTCCAAAAACTGCTCTAAGGCTTCTTTTCAGCCAATGTGTGACCCGAGCACTCAAAACCACTAAATCTTTCAATTTCGGTGCGTTGCCAGCTTTGTTAACTGTTTTTCATTTTAGTTTTACAAGGATA